AAACACCTTGATCAACCAATCAAATAACAACACAATTTATGCTTGTTTACTTGTATACATTTTGATGAATTTACAATTATTTAAATTACATTTTTATGGAACATTTTACATTAACCATTTACACTTTTTATTTGGATTTTAATTATATATATATATAATATTGTTGTGAATGCTACTGATATCAATAGCTATGAGTAGTATGTATTAAAATTGCTAAAATATTCACAAAACCCCTTCTTATAATAATCAACATATGCTCAATAGTGACTGACTTCAAGATGTATTTCCTGGAGTTCTAGTGAGAAGCAGTGACCAGTAGAGTTCAACTGGGTCTGTTGTGAGAGAGTAACTCTCTGATGTAAGTGGTGGATGTGTCGCTCAATTTCATGGATTAGTTGAAGTTAGACATTAACACGTTTGGATGCCGGCCAGCTCAGTGGTCTAGAGGTTAAGCGCTAGCACGTGAGACTGGTAGGTTCTGTGTTCAAATCCAGCGAGGTGGGGTTGTGAATGCGCAATGCTGCGGAGTCCCACAATAGGACGAAACGGCCGTCCAGTGCTTCCAGGTTTTCCATGGTGGTCTATCTTCAATTGACTCATGATCTCAACTATTAAGATTATGTATTGTTGTATTGAAATACATTTGGTTTCTGCCAAATGTGTTCTCCGTCACTAAAATATCATCAAGTGATTGTTGATGAACTAAATCATTCAATAATAAAACTCTTTATTAAATGACTAGTTTATGAAAGAATAAACTCAAAAAGAAGTATCAATTTCTGTATGAATCTAGAAACACCTTGGTGACAAGTATCTAATGGTATAAAATTCATGTCCAGGATTTGCTACTGATTACCTCATATGATTAAGTTTATATATTTTTTTTCTAAAAACGGAAATAATAATGACAACTCACTAATAAGAATACGATTCTTTGCTGCTTCTGCTTCTTTCTGTACATGACGTCTAATTTTTTGTACAATAAATCTCTCTTTAGATTTTGAAGATTCATTATGTTCATTAACATCTCGCTTTTTCGCTTTAACCCGTTCTAAAAGTTATAATAAAGTAAATTTTAAACGAAAACAAAAACTTTTTAAACTATATCATTATAATAAATAAACTTCACATATTCTATTCCTTTCCATGAAATAGTGAATAACTTCTTTTTAAACCATTTTATTAACACTCACATTCTATCATAGGATGACTGAGCGGTCCAAGGCGCTGCGTTCAGGTCGCAGTTCACTCTGTGGGCATGGGTTTGAATCCTACTCCTGACACTGCACATTCTATCATACACTAAATGAATTAAGGTTAATGAACTAATCAAATCCAACTTAAAAGGTGGCAAAATTTTTAAAAAAAAGACTCATTCAAAGTAAGAACTAAAAAAATCCAGGGTATAAATATTGTCAATATCGGGATTTGTAGAGGTGATAGTATTTTAATAGTTCAATTCATGAATCAATCTAAACTAGACCATCTTGCGCATAAATGTTTAACCTATAAATCACTAAGTTATTATCTCATAGAATTAATGTTTAACTTTCATCGATAGATGATCTTGTGCAACTCTTCATTTATTGTCAGAAACGAATCATTGTCGCTATTCGATATAGTACAAATTCTTTAATGAATAGTTGAAATACAACACTTACTTATCAATACACGTTTCAAATCATCTTTCTTTCTACGAATTAAAGTTTTCCAATCTTTTAATGTATCACCATTGTCAACTGTCGTAATGTCTTTTTGTTTTATATTCACTACAGTTCTTTTATTATCTTGTTTAAGGGAAAAAATAACGATACAAGAATAATAAATTGAATGACATTAAATATTTAATATGATATGGTATAGTGTCAGTCATTATTTTAAGCCCATAATAAATCCTTATTCTAGGTTTAGGACAAACCAATCTATTCATTCTACTTGAGTCATATGTTGACCTTGTTAATTATTCGCTTATCAGTCTTGACTGTTTTTACATGAGCAAGTAGGTGTGTATACACTTTATATCCCATGTCTCATCACATGTCTGTAGTTTATTTTGTCTACCTATAAATATTGCGTAACGCTAGGCTAGAAATGGAGTTGGCTTACCAGCCATCTCCCCTGTGCGTCATTTTGCTTTGTTCTATCGCATTCACTTTACATACAAAAATATATGTATTCAAAGATCATTCTCGTTAATTGACTTATCTAAATTCCGTTATTAACTAACGTGATTTAAGTCGATAATTTTATACGAGGATAAGTGATAACAAACATTCGTACGATCTAAGTGGAGTCAGATCCACAGGCCACTAAAATGGATTGAAATAATTTCTAGCAAGTAATAACAATGACATAATTTCTAATGATTATCATTGTTAATCATTGAAATGTAATTATCATTTGAGTAATAAACGTGTTCGTTTGAAAAGAGAAAAATCATTTATCATTAACGGTATTCGTTCTGTGGTAAACGTTAGGATATACATATGGACTAATATTATACGTATATCCTTCTTGTATCACTATTAACTGACTTCAATATACGTATATACACATATTCCATTCATTAAAAGCTTCCACTTGATCTATTGACTATTATCATACGACTCACTAGTCTCGAGATATTCTCCATGTATCAATGACAGTTTCTCACAATCACAATCACTTTTGACTACATCTTGTACAAATGTTATTTTTCATTGTATGGTGTGCTGTGATGTGATTTTGCTTGTATATAAACGAAGTATATCTGAAATAAACGATTTGTATAGTAGGAGGTGTTATTGGTGTTCTGGACTGAACTGTTAGGGCTAGGGGGAAAAGGAACCAATATGGACGCTAAGCTGCTCATACTGGTCAATACGTAATTGTTGTGGCACAATTTTATGATTGTATAAGTCGTATTCTGATTGAAGATTTTATCACATCACAACAAGAACTAATGGAGTTCAACCATGTCAAGATTGATAAAGTTACTCACGACACCTAATAGAAGATGGTAACTTTGTATATAACAAAATGATGAAAATTAAATGTGTACTATGTGGAGTTTCAGCTTAGAAGATCAAAGGTTAAGAGTCCACCGATCTGATCTTCCATATGTTCGTCGACTTCCACTGATGAGAGATTCTATGCTAGGAGTAAACAATTTTTCAACTTTACCTGGTTTTCAGTAGTAGTTGTTTAATGTTTATTAATTATTTATTTCATCCGTTTTTTGTTTGAATTAAGTATACAAAAGTGGGTTTTTACTTAAAATCAATCTATTAATTCATATAGACTAATGAAGCATGTTTATTCAACTAACAGTTAACATTAAATGACGTTAATATAATGAATTTTCTATCAATATTGTTGGTTGATTAGGATTGAGTTTGCATATGAGACGAATTATATTGTGTTGATAGTCGATGGTGTGTTATGTGTCCGTAGGAGATGTGAACAAAGGAGTTTGTTGTCTGCAAAGACTTATTTGCTGACAAAGAAATATAATTAAGAATGTATTTTTGTTTGAGATCATGAATTAATTGATGTTAGACCACTGTTGGAAACCTGGAAGCACTGGACGGCCGTTTCGTCCTAGGATCTCAACCAAAAAACTTAACAATCTCCACAACCCCCATACTGATAAGAATGTATTGTTGAATTTACAAAATACATCATATGGAGTAATACTACAAAATTCATATGCATATCTCTACATCAATTACAAATATAAGATAATTAGAATGTCAGGATTACTGAGTTATATCTTCATGTTTTACTTCGAATATTGTTTATTTAGGTACCACAGTAAATGGATAAGCCTTTATATTTAAAAAATAGAACTTAGTAAATAATTGATGAACTTTTATTGAAGGCATGATATCTGTTTGATAACTAAAAGATGGGGTAAACTGGACAGACAACTAGTGTGTGCTACTATTTGACTTTTCCAAATAGAAGACATCTGTAGGTTTTAGGTGTTTTATCATATTTGTCTTTTAAAAATTACTTTGCTTATCGTGAAACGATTGAGTGATAAGTGTTCATATAAGAAGTAAATAACTAGACAAGGATGCGAAATGGATTATTGACATTGTTAATTTTCATCGACTGAGTTGATTGGAATAAGTGTAATTATGTCTAAGCATAGTCGGCCATAACGGGCAATGTTTGATGGTATGATAATAGGTTGGAAGTAAGCTAGATACAGCGAATTCAGGATTCAGCATTAATCCATGACGTCATTGACTGCAGATTTGAGGCATGTTATTAGATGTAAACTATCGGTTCGGGGAAATGGTAATCAATTATTAGAGACTTTGAGTGACATGGCTCAAAACTGGTTAAAATGGACTAAATGTATTTATTCTTTATGTCATTTCAACTCTTGAGTTCCATTATCCCTTCGTACATACATTTTCAAATGGTTTGAATAATTTTTTTCTGGTTAGACCAAAGAACACATTACGCTGAGAAACGGAGACAGACATGAGAAAATGAACAAAAATGGGACATAACTGAAAAACAAGTCCCAAGGCACTGTGGGTTGGAGAATGCTAGTCGGCGGTCTATGCTCCATTGGGAGTAACAGGAGTAAGTTAGTAAGTAAGTAACGTATCTTTTCATCCTGTCTTTTCGAAAGATACCCTTAATGTTTAGTATTTCTCATTTGTGATTGTTACAACATTATTTTTGTTTTGTTAAATATTCATTTCGTTAATTTCGTCTAATTGTGTTAATGTGATATAGCAACTTGGGCCAACACATATATTTGCTAAGCTTTACGTTGATGATAAAGGATTAATTAATTGAGTTACATTAATTAGAAAAACTCCGCCTGGAGCCCCTCTGGGGCTAATCCCGGTCCCAAACCCGGATAAAGGAGGAGGGTTGGACATTAATTAGATACCTAATTTAGTATTACTAATAGTATTAATAATAGACTTACGAAGTAACCACGATGAAAATATAACTTACCAGCTTCTGCTGGAGATGCTTTATCTGAATGTATTTTTCCCAAAACACGTCTAATACGTCGTGTAATCATTCTCACATTCATGTTACCATTGTTTTCACTTTCTCCTTTTATATTATTCAGTAAAACAAAGTGTATCAAATTAACAAATTTGAAAAGAATTATATAAAATACACATATAATAAGAATATGAACTACAACATATAAAAACAGACAGAGTAATCAAGACATAATTAATGATTATAAGAAAAAATAGATGTTGGTTAGCAATTGCCTTCAGAACTCACGTTTCGTCCTATTTGGGATTCGTCAGCTAGATGTACATATATCCCAAAGTTGATGTTCAGGTACATCTAGCTAATGAATTCCAAGTAGGATGAAACGCGCATCCTAGATTTCATTGTTAGCCATTATCGATCTTTGCTTATAATGCTTGTGACTTAAGACAATATCGAGGCAATACGCACAGTACGCACATATACCAAAAAGAGATTGATCAGTTGCAGTCCTAAACATCAATGGGAAGATTCAAGTAAACAATACCGAGTGTATTTATAATTGATGATTCTTTAAATATTGAATGTTACTTTTATTTATGATTTAATAACAGTTGAAGAATACTAAAAAAAAAACGATAAAGCACCATTTCGTGAAAGTTTAATACTCTTCAGTAGTAGTGATCATCTGAAACTATTGAAGTTATATAGCTTAAAATGTTAAGGTCTTATAACAGCCAAAAAGCCAATGAATCAAAACAATTAAAATTCAGTAGTTTATACTTCTAAACTCCATTAGGATATAACTAATACAAAAGCTTATAGAATTGTCATAATTACTGTGAAAATAAAGTTATGTTGGATGATTTGAGGTATGCTTGTTCAAAATAATTCCGTTTCTAATATTTGGGGTAAACAATAAGGAATTGTCACATTTTATTGTATTTTAATGTTCCGTATTCAGAGCGTTAACGGTTGTTTAGTATGCATATGCTACTGAAGTGTGGAGCTCACACATTAAAAACTTCCCATTAGAAATCAATCCGCGACCAGCCTCAAGTAGTCATCCTTTGGGTTCTGTTGCCACACCCCCTGGTTGCTAAGACCACTACTTGTCCAACTTTTTTTCAGGTCCTTCAAGAAAAATTAATGTTCCATAATATGGGCAAGCGGTAAATGAAAACCGCTCTCATACTTCTATCAGCACCAGAGATCATATTGTTGACGATCGAATCTCTCCCTCACCTATTAAGAATTCTTCCATCCCCTATGACCATTCCTTAGCACATATGTTTAGCACCATAAGCCACCAATCCTAATGATTTAAGTTCACGAAATATCATTCCTGTTTTTCTAAAGCTACTCTCCGAAGTATATGTTGAAGCTTTTAATATTCATACTTTATTTCCGATAGGAAAACGGGTTTCGTTAGCTAAAACTGTATAATCTTGCGCCATAAGTACATGCTGCACCCCGAAACGCGTATACAGCGTCCACGAACAGTTATTCATTTAACCTTACCTTGTCACTATAAAGAATCCTCACGATTTGCCCGTCGACTATCCAGAGACCCCACTACCGCTTTCCATGGTCTCACTAGTTTAGGTATAGCATTAGGTTCTACAACAGAACAGGCTATTTTAGACTGAGTTTCTATAGACAGTCACTTTTGCACTATTCAACTAAACGGGACAGTAAGAACTCGATAAGATAGGAACACACACCGTCGCGTTTTCCTTGTCTCTACCTACGCTCCCATTGATTGCAACTTGGACGAAGTTAAGGATGAATTTTATAGAAAAAGCTAAAAATATATTTCAAGAACAATTAAAGAAGTAGCTAGTCAACCGTGAAAACGATATCCACCCTAAGGTAACTTGGTATGATATCCAAAAAGCTTTATAAGCAGCAATGATATATACTATTAACTTAAACTAAAAGGTTGGAACAAATCAGTAGGTTCTATCGAAATCCATTGAAATGAGTGATGCTCGGAATCTCATCCCGCCTGGCTCCGAATACGATGAGAAGCGGAGGCAGCTTAAATGTAGATTAGCAAAAGGCCTACGTATTGATCGTGAGCAGCGGTAGGTTGTGAAAGCAGAAGAGATGGAAAATACAGCGGCGATGGTTAATAATAGATGACTGTTCAGACTTATCAAGAAAAATGGTTTAAAAAATCCCTCTGTTAATGAAACCATCTTAGAAAAAGATGAGGTCATTATTCACTCTCAGTCCAGGAGATTAAACTGATTGACGGGACACTTTGGGGAACAGTTAAACCTGTTTTCAGCCATACGCGCTAACTCCAAGCAATCTGAATAGCAAACAGATGTCAGTCCTCCAACTCTTAGTGAGGTTTGGAAGGCTATAAGTAATCTAAGACAAGGAAGAGCATTAGGGAGTGATGAATTAACACGTTAGGTTTTTAAGGGTGTTTATCTTGTTTTCGAAATTAGATTAACTGAAATCTTAGCCAAAATCAATGAGCTGGACGTAATCCCAGTTTATAACAAAGGACAAAAATCCTCATATGATAATCACTGAGGATTCAATTTAACTTACATGGTGTCTAGAATATTCACCTCAATAATACTTTAACGTCAAAATTCGGGTTGTGAAGAGCGAACTTGAAGAAACCAGGCTGGCTTCAGAATTTTACATTGATGTATAGACTAAATATTCACTCTTCAGCAGATTTTGTGACATAGACATACTTTTCGGTATCCGACTATGATTGTATTCATTCATCTTAAGGCAGCGTTAAACCACATTGGTGGTGAAGTAACAATGTAAAAACGTTTAGAAATCATTCCGATTCCAAATGTAAAATTTTACTTTAGGATTGGCTTGCGTCATCACACTAAGTTATTGATAGGGAGTGAAGTAATTGGGCTCATAGACCACTTCACTTATATTGGGAGTCTCATCAGAGCTGATGGTCTGGTGTCCGACAAATCTCGACACGAATTCAGAAGGCTCGATTGGCTTTCGCCAACTTATGTCACTTGTGGCGTAGGTGAGACATTTGTCTTCCAACTAGAGGAACAGCTCACTACTCAGTAGTTCTCTTTGATCTACTTTCTAGATGCTAGTGCGGTATGGGAACTTGAACCGGCGTACATTCGTTCCAGGTTCTACGTTGTGACTGTCCGGCAATTTTTCAAGATCAGATTTTAAAAAATACCACATAAAATAAACTTCATGTTATCTAACAAGCGAATATTCTCATAGCTTAGATCACTGACTGATTTCAGCTAGACCATCACTAAAAACCTGGAAGCAGTGGATTGATTGAATTTAGAAATGTACGCCCTCAGATGCCAATTCAGTGCTCCAGAGATTAAGCGTTTGGGAGCGAGATTGAAAGTCCTTGGTTTGATTCCTTGTGGCAGTGTCACAAGTTCAAACTACTGGTGAGTCCCATACTACATTTGAACGGTCGTTCAATGTTTCCAGACTTTAAAATGTAGTCTAGCGAAGATCAGCTTGTGATTTAAACTATGAAGATTCTTAGATCCATCTGCAAATCCCCCTCCCGGAAAAGCAAATATTTGACATAATGTTAAGCTCTCACACATACCATATCTTATTTTTTTTCTTTTCACGATTCGTTTTGCAAGTCGCTTCTTTTTTATATCAGAATAGAGGTCTAAAACTGATTTAGGATTTACTTCCACAGGAAAATCGAATTGTGAACCTGCAATATAAGCAAAAGCCAAAATACAGCATAAACGTAGTAAAGAAAAACTGCCGTAAATTATCAATGTGGCATAATCGTCGAATCTTGATAGATTTAATCCTTATAGTCACTATAAAGTCTACATCAACATTTTGTATTTTCCATGATACATTACTCAGATAAATTGATTGAACTGCATCAATTAAAGACAATATTGTTATATCTGGACAAGAATAAATGAATGCTAACCGTTAGGATATACATATGGACTAATATTATACGTATATCCTTCTTGTATCACTATTAACTGACTTCATTATACGTATATACACATATTCCATTCATTAAAAGCTTCCACTTGATCTATTGACTATTATCATACGACTCACTATTCTCGAGATATTCTCCATGTATCAATGACAGTTTCTCACATTCACAACCACTTTCGACTACATCTTGTACAAATGTTATTTTTCATTGTATGGTGTGCAGTGACGTGATTTTGCTTGTATATAAAGGACGTATGTCTGAAATAAATTATTCTTGTGGTGGTAGATGTTATTGGTGTTCCGAACTGAACTGGCAGTGCAAGACGTAGAAAGGATAAAATAAGACTTCTAAACTGCTCATACTGGTGTATGCGTCATTAGTTTGGTCATGTAAGTCATCATATATCTAAATTGTCAATCATAATTCTCGCGATAATCGTATAGCTGAGAACATAACAATTATGATAGTTGCATTGATGTACATAATTTGGATCAAAATATTACCAATGCAATTATGATTCAATTCTCTTGTCAATAACTTTTGCATATAACAAAATGAAATAAATGGAAATGTTATCAGTGATGTAACTAACCTGCTTGTATATTGACAGGTTGATCATATTTTATATGTGCAATGTCTGCTGAATGATATTTTGTTTCATTCCTCATATTGATTACATTTGATTGTGGTGAATGTCCGACAACTTTGATGACATTTTCACCTTGCAATACTACGTTTTGTTATGAAAAAAAAAACTATCACCATAAAAAGTGAACTAGAAAAAAAGTGGTTGTGAACTAAGGAACATAGAAGTTATGACAAACAACGGAAGATTTGGAGGGGGACTATTTTGCTTAATTCAAAGCTTCTAAAACACTAACATTTATTTTCGCCTTTAGCTAATTCTATAAGCCATAAGCTTTCGTTTGATGTATGATTCACTGAAATACCCTTTTCCGTTCCCTAATCCCGTTTTGGGCATAATTATGTTTTTCTAATTGTTTATGCGTTGTGGTCATGTTAGTCGTCGTTGTGGAGACTGTTAAGTTTTTGATTGAGATCATGAATCGATGAATATTAGACCACCATTGAAAAGTTGGAAGCACAGGACGGTGGCTCTATTTCGTTGATTTGTTGAAGTTCGACATTAACAGCACTGTATGCCAGATCAGTTGTCTAGAGGTCAAGCGTTCGTGCATGAGACCGAAAATCCTGGGTTCGAGTCCGGTGTGCAGAATTGTAGATGCGCACTATTGAGGAGTCCCATAATAGGTCGAGACGGCCGTTCGTTGCTTCCAGCTTTTCAATGGTGGTCTAACATTTATCTGTTAATTCATGTATCCTTTTTCACTAATCAGAATCTGTCTTATTCAACACATTCTCTCTATATGAATTATTTTACTAGTAAATTTTCGGGACTCTGAAGTAATTTAGCTCATTTGTCCTTTGTATCTATATTTACTTGTCCTCTGAAATCGCTTTCAACTTCCACTAGTGAAATTATAGGAATATTATATGTTTAGTCGCTATTATTACTGAGACACTCATTAAAATTCCATACCCTCAGATATTTTACACTTACATCGTTTCTTGTAAACTAAACTAATATGAATAATATTTAACCCTACCAGCAGATCACAAAACAGCCTGGTACATCTATAACGGTAGACCTATCACAATAATTATCGTTATTGTTTCTATGTGCTCTCCGTTTCTGCTTTCTTTTCTCTACATGTAAATGATTATAATCACTCCATTACGGCACTGAAAATGACCTTAAGTATACTGTTCCTGTATGTTCTAGTTCCCTGACAAAGAATTAATGGTTTTCAAATGATCCCTCACAGTGTTGTATGAGATTCTGTGTATAACTCGGTTATTGAGATAGGATCCTTGAATGGATTCTATAGTGAAATCTTAAAACATTTACTTACTAACCACTGTGAAGGTTATGTATAGTTGAGATTATAACCTTTAAATATGTTTTAAATTAATTTCTATTTTGAATATATACAACCACACAGTATCGAATCTCAAATTTACATTTAATTCAACAGGAGAGATCATTTGTAATTAATGAGAACGATAACTAATGTATTAATTTGTTTCCGATAGCATAAATTAATATAATTTACACTCAATTAACTTACATGGATTTGGTTTCGGTAAACATTTAGCGTCAAAATTAATGGATATAGACTTAAGCTCATGACCTTTTGGAGTTAAATGTCCAATTGGAATATTACATCTAGCATCACTTGTGTTCTTAGGTACTAGTCAGATAAAAAAAGAAACAAATATTTATTTAATAGTTCAATTCATGAGTCGATTTAAGCTAGACTATCATGGAAAACCTGGAAGCACTGGTCGATCGTCTCGTCCTAGTACGGCGCTCCTCAGCAGTGCGCATCTACAATTCTGTACAAGGGACTCGAACCCAGGACCTTCGGTCTCGCACGTGAATGCTTAACCTATCGACAACTGGTGTTCATGTCCAATTTTAACCAATCCATGATATTGCAAGACCGTCCACCATTGTGTTCAGCGAATAACGGCCTCACAGCTGATACAGTTGAACTCCACAGTTATGGCTTCTCACTAGAACTCCACGAAATACATCTTGAACCTAGTCATTTGTGAGTACATGGTACTCATATATTTTCTAATATTTATGTTTCCTGTCCTAAACTAATAAGGGGTAAGATCATATTAAACTCAACCCAAAGTTAGTTGTTGACGGTCAGAAAGTGTAACTGGTTAAAGAGTACTACTCTATTTCAATGGTCAGAATGTAAATTTATCCCATGAAAAAATATTACAGGATTCTGATTGGTAAACCTTATCAAGTTATGTCAACCCAAATATATAAATCATAACATTTTCAGTATGAAGATCTTAATTATCTCTCACCAATAATAGTAAATAATAGAAAAATCATAGTTCCAGAATAAATTGAAAATTAAGTTCTGTGTGTGAAGTTTAAAATTGATAGTTTACATTGGAAATAGTCAAGGAAAATATGTGGAGTAGAATGAAATGAGTAACCTTATATTCGTTGACTGCTAGATAATTTCTAAAGTCAGGACACCAAGTACTATGTTAGTTGGTTATAAATTATTAAATAGAAATCCTGGATCTAGGTTTTACTGTAGTTGAAGCTCATCATCTAGCTAGACTTTAATTCCAAGGAGAACAAATGCTTTTAGCAGAATTTAAAACCCCATCACCAACCGTTACAGTTACTGATGTAATACCTGGAGAACTTCAGTTTCTTAAAAAATGCATACAAGCCTTTATTTCAAGTCTCAACTAACACAAAGTCTATAAGCAAAGCTTGCTTTCTATTGCTTTTATCAGGTTACCATTAGATAAATATTACCGCAGTATTGGCTCACTTTGACAAGTGGCCATATTACAATTTGATTGTCGATGTGTAACTTTATTCGCCGTGGTTGTCTACATAACGATAGAGTAACACTGATGTTAATAAAATATACATCCTACATACTTCGTATATAGTATATCCATAAATCCCAATAATAACACCATAAATATGAAAAGTCATATAAGAAATTACTTGTGGAATGCATATTTCAAACATTCAATGATTCATGAAAGAAGTAGGAGACGAACAGAAATGCACGTAAAATGAAGTGGCAGAAATAGTCAACTCAGTAAATGATAAATAACTCAGCATTTACAAGCACAAAAGAGATACATGAATCACATAGACACAGTACTATTATTTACACAAACTCAAGGACACACATAAGTGATATAATAACTGAGAAGTCCCATACTTGGACGAAACGGCTGTCCAGTGCTTCAAGGTCTTCTATGATTGTCTAGCATCAATTGACTCATGAATTCAACTATCAAATCACTATAATATCCACAAAACCTCTCTCTGGTGATAATAGTTTATTTGTTTAGAACTTAGAAGATAATCGTGGAAGGGTATAACAAAGCTGATTTCTGCATAATCAGTACCAAGGTCAGTAGTTGTCTTGAAATTACCAATCATTGTCAACTATGTAGTAACTATGAGGTTGAATTCATGTCTTGTATATCGGGGTATTCAAACTAACACAAAACGATTTGTTTTTATAGGGACCATTCCTTCCTAATTATTGATTTATTAGTTTACAAACTGTAGACGGGATGGTCGACCGTAATATTTTATTTGACTTGATATTTGGTGATTCCAAATAAATGTTATTACTATCTGAATAATAAATTTCCTTGAATGAAAAATATTTTATTCAGAGAGGGGTTTTGTGGATATTCTAGTAATTTAATAGTTGAATTCATGAGTTGACTTAAGCTAGACCATCATGGAAAACCTGGAAGCATTGGACGGTAGCTCAATTTCGTGAATTGGTTTAAGTTAGACATTAACACCGTTGGATGCCGGATCAGTGGTCTAAAGGTTAAGCGTTCGCGCGCGAGACCGATAGGTCCTGGGTTTGAGTCTCGCGAGGTGGGATCGTGGATGTGCACTTCTAAGGAGTCCCATACTAGGATGAAACAGCTATCCAATGTCTCCAGGATTTTTATAGTGGTCTAGCTTAAATCGACTCATGAATTCAATTATTTGTTATTTGACAATAATGTCAGACATAACGATAAATTACAATATTTATTTTATATATTCGTTAGTTTTTTAATGAATTTATTAATGAAAGAACAATCACTTACCAGAGTTCGGATCAGACTGATTAATCCCTCTTGCTGAACGACAAAAATGAAGTGAAACTGATTTCACGGGATTAGAAATTGATGACGTATTTGTTGATTCATTGGGTAAAGCATTGTTACCAACTTCTAAACGGAAAAGCAAAACATGAATAAGAAACAATGAAATTAGGTGTATTTTGATAAAGTACTCCTTTAGGCAGAAAAGTATTTTTTATAGTTTTTAAGTCATAGATCGATCTTAACTAAACCATCATTAAGACTCTAGAAACACCGGACAGGTGTTTCGTCCTAGCACGGGCATCCACACCGCCGCCATAGGAAATCGGACCTAGGACCCTCAGTCTCAAGTGAGAATGCGTAAACTCTATGCCATCGAGATGAAAGCTGATGGTGTTAGTTTCTAACTTCAACGTACAATATTCAACGAACACTTTCTATTGCCTGAGATGGATTACTATCCCCTACCCTACATGGTCGAGTTCCATCGACAATTATTGATAAAGTTTCATATCGAATAGTAACAAATCTTTACAATTATTACTAATAATATCAATACAATATCAGGGTAAATAGTTTATATTATATCATGATGTACTATAACTATGTAGAAATAAAGTATACTGTAATTTAAAGAAAAGCCTGTATTTTAGTAATGAAATCAATCTAATGGTCTATCAGTCATAACAAGCAACAGATAACTACTTAATTCATGTTTTGTTATTGTTATAAAAGAGTTAATCTTCAAAATAAATTTGTAAGCTTTCAGTATAAAATATGATAATGGTTCATTTTATTCTAATGATTACAAAATATATACTAATAATTTATAGAAATGACCGATAATAATATGGAATAGTATCAGAAGAGGTTTCTTGTGGATATTATAATAATTTTAATAGTTGAGATCATCAGTCAATTGAAGCTAGACCACAATGAAAAACTTGAAAGCACTGGACAGCCGTTTCATCCTATAGTGGGACTCCTTAGCAGTGCCTATCCATGATCCCACCTCATGAGACCTGAACCATGGACTTATCGTTCTTGCGTGCGAACGCTTAACCTTTAAACTACTGATCCAGTATCCAACAGTGTTAGTGTCTAACTTAAACCAATTCACGAAACTGAGCTACCGTCCAGTGCTTCCAGGTTTTCCATGATGGTCTAGCTTCAATTGACTTATGATCTCAACTATCTAACTACAGTATTCTTAACAATGACTACCTATATTTCAATGTTCGAAATTCAATTAATCATTAATAATTATAAATAAAATACATTAAAAATTAAATATCTAATATACATACCTTTAGTAACAACATTAATTTGACATTCATATGGGATGATTTGTAGACATAATGTTACCAAGAGTAACTTTTCAACAACAACCAAAAAACGAAGAAAAAAAAGATAACGATCAACATAAGAATCATAAATGAAAATTAATCAATAAATGTTTACTAATTCCCTTTCCCCCTTTTTTTTAAAATTTGTACCTTAATACATGTATCTACCATAACAACTATGAACAGCGAATTGTTAATGAATAGAATTGAACTTTATATACTCATTTAAGAAGCTCGATTCAGTTTATTTATTTATTTATTTATTATTATTATTATTATTATTATTATATACTTTCAATAATCAATGAATTTCAAATTAATATTTAATTAAATAATTTAGAATTGTATACAAATACGGATTATAATAATTTGCCCTAATTTAGCATAGATTTCAAACATTTTTAATTAAACTAATAATAATAATAATAATAGTGGATCCACTTTACACATGATTGAACAAGTCATTGATTATTCAATGATCTAAATAGGAAAAAAAATAATACATAATCACAGTTCGAATAATTAACGTGTGAACCATATGATTTGTACAAATTAAAAAACTTAATAGTAAATCAGTTCCTTTTAGTAAAAAAATGTATAATAAATGAGAACACAAGTGGGTTACTTACTTACTTACTTACTTACACCTGTTACTCCTAATGGAGCATAGGCCGCCGACCAGCATTCTCCAACCCATTCTGTCCTGAGCCTTGTTTTCTAGTACCAAACACAAGTGGTTGATAATTAATTTATTGTTTATTAAATGATTATGGATATGAAGGGTCCACCTAGGAGAGTTGGAATACCCCTGATTCGAAACCAATCGCGTACATAGGATCGAGGATGTTAAGGAAACAAATAGCTTATGAATCTAATATTGATCACCGGCTACCATGGGATTGAATCTCCTTACGTTGTTAGACTGCCTTGTGGATTAGACATATAAATCAAAGGCTCAGGGTGTGGCACTCTATGAAAACCAACTGCTTCGGTTTGGGAACCCGAGCATTATTCCAGCTCTCACAAAAATCGGATGATTTATTTGGAGCATATCTTTTTGGTGCCTCCTTGTACCATTGTTTATGTGTTTAGATAATAATAATAATAATAATAATAATAATAATAATAATAATAATAATAATAATAATACAATATGATGGCTAAACATAAAATACATACATTGAATACTTCATTTACAAATTTCTATGATTTGCACTTTACATTCTGTATGATTATTCGAATTCACAATTCCCTTCTATTTTCATTTATGTTTTCTTCAATTCATGCTATTTAATCTTCTACTGCCAGTCATTCAACTTTTGATTGGTGTTGTATACTACTTAATTCGACATGTAAAAGTAGCATACACCACATAGATATTAATTAGGATTTATCAAAAAAATTCTTTATTCAGTTGTGTCATGTTATGAATATATACTAACACAAGCTTAAGTAATTCAAAACAAGATTTCTGATTATTGCAAAGGTACTAACGAGTCACATAAATGACAAAGAAATATGTTTCAGTTTCTTTAACATAATTCTTGAGTAAGATTACATTGGTTATATTGTAATGGTGTTGTATTCTCTGAGCTGTAAGGTGATGGTTGGGAGCAGTCGACAAGAAATCCTGGACCTAGGTTTATTGCTGTCTGGAGCTCGTCATCAAAATGTGTCTATAATCTTGAGGAAATGGATGATCTATGGTGGATCCGATCTGGTGTCAATCAACTCACAGTCAAAAACGTTATCACTGAGTTATTCACGATTCAAGTGACCTCATTCAGGAATGAGATGTCTTATAATTTGATTGATCACCGGCTAGTGACCAATGTCTTGTATGTTGTGTCCACCACAGAGCATCACTTACCTCAAGGTTACAGGCACATCTTGCTGACAAGTGTTAAATAGAACGAAACCTAGGTTCAGTGTTTCACGTCGACCACCTCCAAACACCATCTAATATTTCGATGTAGTCCATTCAATAGTACACGGCTGAATTAATTAGAATTTAAAAAAAACTATTTTTTTATTATTGAGCAAAATTTAAAGATAAATGTGATATAGTTTGTCACTTGAATCCTACTTGTTATATCTGGTCGTCGCTGATTATTTTGTCGGAATCGTTTATTACGTATACTTGTAAAAACAAGGAACCACTGCAATTCTCACGACGGAAAAGTAAGAACACAAAGACTGGTATACTTACTTACTTACTTACTTACGCCTGTTACTCCTCGTGAAGGAGCATAGGCCGCTCACCAGCATTCTCCATCCAACCCTGTCCTGGGCAATCCTTTCTAGCTCCGTCCAGTTGTAATTCATCGTTTTCATATCTGCTTCTATTATCCGACGCAATGTGTTCTTTGGCCTTCCTCTTTTTCCCTTCCCTTCAGGATTCCAAGTTAGGGTTTGTCTCGTGATGCAGTTTAACGATTTGCGTAATGTATGTCCTATCCATTTCCACCGTCGTTTCCTAATTTCTTCTTCAGCTGGAAGTTGGTTTGTTCTCTCCCACAGAAGGCTATTGCTAAGATTGGTATAAGTGAAGATTTATTAACCCTAAAACACGATCATGACGTCGACGACAACTAGTCGAAAATACACTAACTTAAATATTGATTGTACACCCATTTTTGATTAATAATTAGGATGAAATCACATATATGAAAAATGCTCACAGTTATAAAAAATCACATACAGAGCATAGTTCATGTCAATGGAATACAAGAATATCGTATATTATACAGAGTAAAATGTCATATGGAAAAACAGAACAAGTACTACATTGCGTAATCATTACATTGAATCAAAACGGAATTATTCTTGAACAAAACTTATAATGAGTAAATCAATCGAAAATTGACTTTTCTTTTCATCATATCAAAATGATATTTATCTTCTATTACGTAATCTGTGCATTTGAATTATTGTTTTACAGTTTTAGTTCTATAACTCATACATGAATTTACTAAAAATGATGTTTTAAATGATGATAATTTTAATAGTTGAGATCATGAGTCAATAGAAGATAGAGCACCACGAAAAACTTGAAAGCATTGGATAGCCATTTCGTCCTATTGTGAGACTCCTCACTCCTCACTCCATGGTCCCACCTCGCGAGATTCGAACACGGGACCTATCAGTGTCGCACGCTTGTGCTTAACTTCTAGACCACTGAGCTGGCCGATATCCAACGGTGTAAGTGTCTAACTTCAACTAATCCATGAAATTAAGCGACACATCCACCATTGTCATCAGTGCGTTATTATCTCACAACAGACCTAGTTGAACTCCACTGGTCACTGCTTCTCACTAGATTTCCAGGAAATACCTCTTGAAGCCAGTCACTATGTTGATTATTATCAGAAGGGGTTTTGTGAAGATTTTAGTACTTTCAATAGTTGAGATCATGAGTCAATTTATGCTAGATGACCACAGTGCTTCCAGGTTTTCCATAATGGTCTAGCTTCAATTGACTCATGATTTCAACTATTCAAATTACTATAATATTCAAAAATACCCTTCTGTTAAATGATAACATTACTATAAAATTATATATTGGAGACATGATAAGGATTCAGAAAGAAAACATTAAAATTAATACATTTTTATTCAAATTATTGATAATTCAATAATAATAATAATAATAATAATATTAATAATTCTAAACTCCATCTGGAGTTCCTCCGGGGGCTGCTGCCGGTCCCAATTCCGCATAAAGAAGGAGGGTTGGGCATGGGGTTAGCGACTCCATCCCGTAGAAAACTAACTCGCTAAAAAAACGATAACCAGAAAATTAATCAAACCTTTAGAATGATATTTCTACAGAATAAAAATTAGAAAACTGATGATGATATTAATCACCCTTGAAAATTAATAAACTTTGACAAGTTTCTTCTCTACTCATTTGATGAAAAAATTGATTTCATAATCAGATGGTTATTTTAAAAAGAACTTAAATTTATAAATTCACTTGGTATTGTTTATTTGAATCTTCCCATTGATGTTTAGGACTGCAATTGATCAGTTTCCTATTGGCATATGTGCATACTGAGCGTATTGCCTCAATATAGCCTTTATTCATAAGCATGATATGCAAAGATAGATAATGGCTAGCAGTGGAATCCAGGACGCAAGTTTCGTTTTATTTGGACTCGTTAGCTGGATGTATCTGCGTATCGCAGGCACATACATTGTATCTGGTAGCGTTCTATTCGCTTGAAGCTTTAAATGGGGCCATCCGGAATTATGAAAAGGTGACGTACTATCATTATTCAGCTCGTGATTCTTATTTCCATTAGAGTCAGAAGCCGTATATTAAATTTGGCGGTTGGAGAAAGGGTCGTAGAACACTTTGCGGATCCTTACAGCCGATTAGACGAAGGAGGTAATTTGAATGGTGTTATTATATTGTTCATGAAGGAGTGCAATGGATACTCAACGTTCGGCCTTCATCTATTGTAAGTTTATTAAAGATTTCTGTTGCTCGTGGGAATGCGCATCACAATCACGAGTGCGATTCCCTGAAGTACGACAATAATTCTTGGTTGTGCAGGTTAACGAAGGTGTATTCTGAAACAGTGCGACCTCTTCTGATTGCGTGGACAGCAGCACCCAAAACTCTCCACTTCGTTTACCAATCTTATGGGAAGCGCCTGAATCTTCAGGATGTTTCTAACATGAGCCACAAAGTGTTCTTGCAGGCCAATCTTCCTGGTAAGCAATGTGCCTATTTTTAGAGTAAATGGTAAGTGATTACGCCAAATTCAAAGCTCACACCTTTTTACCTGGTGGGTTTTGTAAGTATGAAACTGATGGAAAAAATTATCTCTGAGAATTTTACTTCGCAACTGTTAATCAGAAGAATTTGACAACGTATTTTCTTGATAATGTTGGTTTTGACGGGACCTACAAAACCAATAACGTTGAATATTAATTGAATGGCAATGTGTATGAATAGCCTTTATAAGTCGTGAAACATCTGCTCTGCTGTCACGATTCATGTCATTGTTCAGGCGCTCAACT